GACCGCCCAGAGGAATGCCCAGAGGAACGCCCAGAGGAATGCCCAGAGGACCGCCCAGAGGAATGCCCAGAGGAACGCCCAGAGGACCGCCCAAAGAAACGCAGAGAGAAACACCCTGAGAAACGCCCAAAGGAACGCCCAAAGAAACGCAGAGAGAAACCCTCTGAGAAAAACCCTGAGGAACGCCCAAAGAAACACAGAGAAAAACACCCTGAGAAACACCCTGAGAAACGCCCAAAGGAACGCCCAAAGAAACGCAGAGAGAAACACCCTGAGAAACACCCTGAAAAAACGGCCAAAGGAACGCCCAAAGGAACGCAGAGAGAAACCCTCTGAGAAAAACCCTGAGGAACGCCCAAAGAAACGCAGAGAGAAACACCCTGTGGTCCGCCCTGAGGAACACCCAGAAGACCGCCCTGAGGAACGCCCAAAGAAACGCAGAGAGAAACACCCTGAGAAACACCCTGAGAAAAACCCTGAGGAACGCCCAAAGGAACGCCCAGAGGAATGCCCAGAGGACCGCCCAGAGGAATGCCCAGAGGAACGCCCAGAGGAATGCCCAGAGGAACGCCCAGAGGAACGCCCAGAGGAACGCCCAGAGGAATGCCCAGAGGAACGCCCAGAGGAACGCCCAGAGGACCGCCCAGAGGAACGCCCAGAGGAACGCCCAGAGGAATGCCCAGAGGAACGCCCAGAGGAACGCCCAGAGGACCGCCCAGAGGAATGCCCAGAGGACCGCCCAGAGGAACGCCCAGAGGAACGCCCAGAGGACCGCCCAGAGGAACGCCCAGAGGACCGCCCAGAGGAACGCCCAAAGAAACGCAGAGAGAAACACCCTGAGAAACGCCCAAAGGAACGCCCAAAGAAACGCAGAGAAAAACACCCTGAGAAACACCCTGAGAAACGCCCAAAGGAACGCCCAAAGAAACGCAGAGAGAAACACCCTGAGAAACACCCTGAAAAAACGCCCAAAGGAACGCCCAAAGGAACGCAGAGAGAAACCCTCTGAGAAAAACCCTGAGGAACGCCCAAAGAAACGCAGAGAGAAACACCCTGTGGTCCGCCCTGAGGAACACCCAGAAGACCGCCCTGAGGAACGCCCAAAGAAACGCAGAGAGAAACACCCTGAGAAACACCCTGAGAAAAACCCTGAGGAACGCCCAAAGGAACGCCCAGAGGAATGCCCAGAGGACCGCCCAGAGGAATGCCCAGAGGAACGCCCAGAGGAATGCCCAGAGGAACGCCCAGAGGAACGCCCAGAGGAATGCCCAGAGGAACGCCCAGAGGAACGCCCAGAGGACCGCCCAGAGGACCGCCCAGAGGAACGCCCAGAGGAACGCCCAGAGGAATGCCCAGAGGAACGCCCAGAGGAACGCCCAGAGGAATGCCCAGAGGAATGCCCAGAGGACCGCCCAGAGGAACGCCCAGAGGAACACCCAGAGGACCGCCCAGAGGAATGCCCAGAGGAACGCCCAGAGGAACGCCCAGAGGAACGCCCAGAGGACCGCCCAGAGGAATGCCCAGAGGAACGCCCAGAGGAATGCCCAGAGGAACGCCCAGAGGAACGCCCAGAGGAACGCCCAGAGGAACGCCCAGAGGACCGCCCAGAGGAATGCCCAGAGGACCGCCCAGAGGAACGCCCAGAGGAACGCCCAGAGGAACGCCCAGAGGAACACCCAGAGGACCGCCCAGAGGAATGCCCAGAGGAACGCCCAGAGGAACGCCCAGAGGAACGCCCAGAGGACCGCCCAGAGGAATGCCCAGAGGAACGCCCAGAGGACCGCCCAGAGGAATACCCAGAGGAACGCCCAGAGGAACGCCTAGAGGACCGCCCAGAGGAATGCCCAGAGGAACGCCCAGAGGAACGCCCAGAGGACCGCCCAGAGGAATACCCAGAGGAATGCCCAGAGGAACGCCCAGAGGACCGCCTAGAGGAACGCCCAGAGGAACGCCCAGAGGAACGCCCAGAGAAACACAGAGAGGACCGCACAGAGGAATGCCCAGAGGAATGTAGAGAGAAACACCCTGAGGAACGCCCAGTGGAACAACAGCCTCCCTGGAGGACCCTGCAGATGGGTCACAGGTCAGAGAGTTGAGGAAGCACTGCCTAAACTTCCGTTTCAAAGATGGCTGACGTTCACATCTACATAGCAAACCTTTGATGGCTTTGTCCTGGTTCTGAAACCCTTATCCAGAGGTTCTGTTCTAACCGCAGCAACATTCCAACAATGCAGAACATCTCTAAGCTCTCAGTTCCTGGGTTAATGGGAGGACTGGTTCAGAACCTGCAGCTCTGAGGAGAAGAAGAAACTTCTGGATTCAAGTCTGAATTCCACAGAAGCCAAACATCTCTGGGTTTGTGTTGATGTGAGCGACCCATCAGCACCGGAACCGGCTCGGGTTCCTCACCAGCTAAATGGAGCAGAGCAGGCAGCCATGTTGGGTTTGATGGCTAACCTTCAGTCTAAAGGAGTCCAGCCTCCCATCAAAACACTGAAACCAGCTTCTGAGGCGTCAGCAGATACGGTCCACCTTCAGCCTCATCCAGCCGCTGCTCTGCTGGAGCCAAAACTTTAAAAAGAAAGAAAGATCGGAGCTCATCATTACTAGAAGGGATGGAGCTAACATGACCTTCATCTCTTGATGGGGGAACCAGATCAGCTGCTGGTGGTGGCCCACCACCACCAGATAACCCTCCCCCTCTGTTCCTGGTTGCTGAGCAACAGCAGCCTTGGATGGGAAGGTCCTGGTGGTTCTGAAACAGTCTGAAGCACAGACCATGGGCGTAGGTTTGCATAGGGACCATAGGGACATGTCCCTACCAAAATTTTGGAAGGACCTATTTGTCCCTACCAATAATTGGATGTAAACAACATGTTTATAATTTACTATAGAGCAGCAGCTTCTTTTCCTCTCGCAGCTTCTCTGCCTGGTAGCTGCAGCTGCCTGCTCTTTCCTGTCCCGTTCACATAGCAGCGCATCAACTGTGCTGCGCGGTTTAATTCTCTGATTATTCTGCTATTAAGTTCCGCCTTCTCTCTTTCTGATTGCGTGTTTTCTAGTCTGTATGTGCGCGCGCGCGCGGGTGCTTGGAGCGCGAAAAAAAAGACGCTAAAATAAATTAATATTGGGCTACGAAACTAGTCCAAATTAAAAAAAATATTATCTACGCTAAAACAGGCGAAACCTTCTGACTGGAGTTCTGTAAAGAAGCAGGAGAGAGTTTTTTGATTTGTGGAACTTGAGAAATGTAAGTTAGCAACGTTAGGAGTTCTTTTATTTTATCTTTTAATCAGATAGCCAAAGGCTCCTTAAAGAAGATCTTTTATGAAATGAAACCAGGTGAAACAGAAGCCTTTAAACGTTTCCTTTGGAGGAGTTCTGGATGGAGAATATTGTCAGACAAAAACTTTTTTTTTTTTACTTCTTAAATGCTAATATTTTTTTTACAATCTTGGTATAATTCCTGCTCTAAGTTGGTCGCTCTGTCGGCTAAAGGCACATTTTAGTGGCCCTATACTCCAGTTTATGATTAATCACTTACTAAATTAGTTCACGATTATTTAAATAATTTGTTAATATGATTGTTTCAGCCATAGATAAAATACATGATATTAGCTACACAGAGTAACTACAGCCCAGATGTACAACTTCTAATATTAATACTTTAAATGCTCAGTGTCAGTTCCTCCTATAGTTCCAGTGCTCATGTAAATACAATACATTTATTTGCTGTCCCTTGAATGTATTATTCCAGAGAGAGCAGAGTGGGTTTTACCTCTGCACAATTCTATATCTTCAGAAGAAAACACAGGATAAATCCACATATAGACTATATTTGGTTAAACAGACACTGTCTTGGTCGCAGGTAAATTCAAATGCAATCCTTTTCAAAGTGGAAAAAGTCCCAATTCCACATTCATCAGAGCAAGTTATGCTTTAAATATTGATAAACAGCATCTAGTGCATGTAGTGCTTATAAGATTTGTATTAATGTAGCAAGAAATGCTGCTGTTCTCTTTTAACAAAATGAGCCCTGAAGCTCACATTAAGCATAAAAAAGAGCATGCATATTTTTTGCAAAGGACCAATGAAACTGAAGAATAGTGTCCCTACCAAAGTTGAAATCAAACCTACGCCCTTGGCACAGACCATCGTCCCAATCTGAGCAGTAGAAAGAAGGCTGGACCCAGAACCAGAACCCCCCTGACCTGAGCCCAGTCGGGTCTGCTGGGGGTCCGGGAGCAAACAGCCACCCTAGAACCCCCCTGACCTGAGCCCAGTTGGGTCTGCTGGGGGTCAGGGAGCAAACAGCCACCTTAGAACCCCCCTGACCCGAGCCCAGTGGGGTCTGCTGGGGGTCAGGGAGCAAACAGCCACCTTAGAACCCCCCTGACCCGAGCCCAGTCGGGTCTGCTGGGGGTCAGGGAGCAAACAGCCACCTTAGAACCCCCCTGACCTGAGTCCAGTCGGGTCTACTGGGGGTCCGGGAGCAAACAGCCACCTTAGAACCCCCCTGACCCGAGCCCAGTCGGGTCTGCTGGGGGTCAGGGAGCAAACAGCCACCTTAGAACCCCCCTGACCTGAGTCCAGTCGGGTTTGCTGGGGGTCAGGGAGCAAACAGCCACCCTAGAACCCCCCTGACCTGGGTCCAGTCGGGTTTGCTGGGGGTCAGGGAGCAAACAGCCACCTTTGAACCCCCCTGACCCGAGCCCAGTCTGTCCTGCTGGGGGTCAGGGAGCAAACAGCCACCTTAGAACCCTCCTGACCTGAGCCCAGTCGGGTCTGTTGGGGGTCAGGGAGCAAACAGCCACCTTAGAACCCCCCTGACCTGAGCCTAGTGGGGTCTGCTTGGGGTCAGGGAGCAAACAGCCACCTTAGAACCCCCCTGACCCGAGCCCAGTCTGGTCTGCTGGGGGTCAGGGAGCAAACAGCCACCTTAGAACCCCCCTGACCTGAGTCCAGTTGGGTCTGCTGGGGGTCAGGGAGCAAACACCCACCTTGACCTTTCGGCGCATTTTGTCCTTCCACTTCTGAGCCACGCTGCTGTCGATCAGAAGCAACCTGCAGCCAGAGGCAGAGCAAAAACGCCTTTCATCGTCATGACAACCTTCCGACAGCCATGCTTCATCATCCTCATCACCACTCATACCTGGACCTTTCTTCGCTCTCGTAGCCCATGATGAGGTACTCCTCCCCAGGGGTGAGGGGGGGGCACAGGCAGGATGAGGAGTAATAGAGCATCTGGGTCTCCTTTGGGATGTTGACCAGAGAGGACTTCAGGACCTCCTTCACGTCCACCACGGCCGTGGGCTCCAGACCGCGGTTTCGGACCTCCCGGACCCTGGCCCTGATGACTGGGGGTGGGGCGGGGTGGGGGGTTGGGGGGGATCAAAATACCTACATCAGTCTGTGTCTCCTTACTCCAGCTCCCTGTTACTGAAATAAATCAGCCATTAATAATCTGATTAATCTGGTAACCTTAATTAAGCGCGTCACTTCCTGTTGTAATAGCGCTTCGTTTCCAGGAGGAGCTGCTCTGTTTCTGTTTCTACATTCAATGGAAATTCAATGATTTATGGCTTTAACAAACGAGGAGAAGCAGACGCCTCTCAGCCTGGGGGGATGGCGTCCTACTCCCCTGGAGGAGCTGCTCCGTTTGGGATTCATTCAATATGTGGGCATAGGTGGTTACCGCGGCAACAGATCCTCATGAAACTGAAATCAGTTAGAAAATCCCTTTGCTGCCTGATTAGAGTTAAATATTCCAGAATCTGACTGGCTGGGTGCTAACAGATGGGCTTATGGAGGCCATTTCACACCCGGCTATGCAGAGAGAGGGCCGCTGCGGACGGGCTAACGTTAGCCCCGGCCGCTGCGGACGGGCTAACGTTAGCCCCGGCCGCTGCAGATGGGCTAACGTTAGCCCCGGCTGCAGTGGCCGGGGCTAACGTTAGCTTATTACTCCAGTTTATGATCTTTATCCCGTTAAAGCGTCTCATGGCTCACCGTAGTTGTAGTTGTTATTCACGTAGGCCTTCTGGCCCATTTTCACCGTTTTACACTTGCAGCGATCTACAAACACAAACAGAAGGTTTTTATTGCTCAACATTTCTTCTTCTTTCATTCACCCTTAATGTCTGAATTTATAAACAATCATACAACTAAATGTTCACATCATTAGAGATGATTTCCCTCATTATTACATGAAGATTAGTTATGATGCTAATTAGCAACACCAGGAACCAACCACACTACATGACATCACTGCGATTAATATTTGATTATTGAGCTGTGACCTAAAGGTAGAGGTAAACCTGAGGTAAACCGCTGCATAAAAAGCTTCTTCAGAAGACGTGTCATTTCAAACACTGCCCCCTAGTGACCAGCAGCTGTAGGTGCAGAGGAACCATTAACGCGGCCGGTCAAACATTTTATCATCCATCCGTTGATGATGCAGCTAAACGGGAACATTTGGAGCTTTAGTTAATAACATCCATTTAGTTTCTCCTCCACCTTGTCGGGGGCAGCAGCCTTACCTCCATTTGGTCCTCGGCAGTGGAAGCTGCTGGGATCCATCGGAACGTCAGAGCCGGACTCTAGAGGGCAGAAAATTTTTGGTGGATTAGTTAAAGCGGAGCTGATGGACTCCTTCATCCTCAGCCTGTTCAGGGTCCACCAGGAGCCCCTCCCATCAGGTCAGCAGGTAGGATGGTTACATCCCCTGCTGGACCTCACTGATGGTTGGAGAAGGAAAACACCTCACCTGGGTTCTGACACCTGGACGGGTCCTGGAGGTACGGGTCTGCAGAGACAGAAAAGATTCAGTCTTTCACACATTAAGGATAGAAAAACAGTCATAGAATGAGTTTAGTGCTGCTGCTGTATGGGGACCCTAAAGCAGCTTCTGATGGAGCTTCCCTTCCTCCAGCTGCTGATCATTCAGGACGTTCTCTGCCTGCTCTGGGAGAACATGAGGGACAGAGATGGAGAGAAAATCCCTGGAACAACTTCAGTGATCCACCCCGGCTGAACCGCAGCACATCAACAAATCACAGCCAGGGAAATCCCCGGGTCCCGCTGCGTCCAGTGAGCCGGCGCGGCTCGGAGGACGGTGGGCGTACGGATGTGGAGGTCGGGCTGAGGTTTTGTTTTTCCTGCTCCTGGGTTTGGAGACGCCAAGGACAGCGAGGGTTTTATTGAGTGGGCCGCCTGCATCAAGCAGCTCTTTGTGGGAGTGAAATCAGAGGGGAAATGAGTCACGCTATCTGTTTGGGAAGGAACCAAAACAGTCGCTGCTCTGGGAAACAGGCCATATTTGGAGGAAAGAGCTGAAGCTGCTGATTTAGAAGGATCCGTAAACATTTGGCTTTAGCAGGCAGCAGGATTTACTCCAATAGGTCAACTTTTAGAACAGGATTTGCTCAGGATCCACAAACTGCAATGACTTCAACATATAGATGCTCCTTCTCTGCCTGTAGAAACTATTAGATCTCAGATGATCTCAGCTCTCCAACATTAGTCAGGGAGCATGAAAAGCTTCTGAGTAGAAACTTTCAAGTTTAATTTAGCCTCAGACTTTGACTAGGCCGTCATAACAGCCTAGTCTGACCCTAAGAAGGTTTGCAGATGTTCTGTAGAAGATGAATTCATTCTAGATTAAATAGATCTCAGGCCTCAGGAACTGAGCAACCAACCTGGTCCTTCTGCCTTGACGATGGCCTCAGGAGAGATGCAGACGCCGCGGTCGTACAGCGGCAGCTCGCTGCAGGCCAGGCTGTCGGGCCAGCTGTGGTTGTACCTCTTCATCACGGGCTCACAGCCGGACTTGGCTCGCTCACACACCGCCTTGCAGGGCTTGATGGGCTCATGCTGGAAGTCGATGGTGCAGATGGGAGCGTACATGGCGCACAGGAAGAAGAGAAGATCTGGGCTGCATCCCGTACCTGAGCAGACAGAGTTTAAACATTAGTTTGCAGGTGCTAGGCTCCAGGTACTTAGAGATTCACTTCCAAACAGAAACCCCACATTCATATCTTCAGGTAACACAGAGTACATGTCAGACTTAATAATATTACTTCAGCGATAGTTTCAAGGTGTTGCTTTATTGTATATCTCGTACCGTGTCTTTTGGTTGTGCTGTTCTTTTTTCATCTCGTTGCAGGTGATGAAGCAGACTGAAAATGTTTGGTCATTGTCTCCTTTCTATCTCCTCTTTCTTTCATCTTTTCTCTTTTTTCCTTTTCTTCTTCTGTTTTTCTGCTCTACTTACATTGCAGTGTCCATATAAACTATAAAACTCCCTGCATAATTATAATAAAGCTATTTCTATGCATGAAACAAGTGGAGCAGTATGGCAATTGCCATATTGCTCCACTTGTGAAAGTAAAATCTGTTGGGCTCTTTTTGGCATCAAGACAATTATTCTTATTGCCACATTGCCAGACAGGACACGGTAAAAAATAAATAAATAAATAAATAAATAAACATTAGTTTGCAACTTTGCTTCACTTCCTGTCCCGGGTTTGTTTGTGTTACCGTTTTGTTGCAGTTTCCATCTATTTCTATGTTTAACTTAAAGCTACTTCTGGATTATTGGTTGAACGAGTTTATTTAGTTTCAAAGTAAATTCATGGTATTCGTTTTCCGTTTTACTCTCCATTGTTTGTCGCAGTATTTCTTGCTAAGATGACCTAATGATGATGTCATTGATTACCTCGCTGGGTTCTACCAACTAGAGATTGTGATTGTTTCAGTTAAAATTTGCAGAAAAAAGGTTGATTTTCAGATGAAATATGAATATTAGAAAACAATGTAATGATCCTGTCTGCGCTGCATGAGGCACCAGAACCATCAGAAACAACGCATCACTCAGAAGAAGCAGGAACCACGTCTTCAAACAAAGAGGGGACAGAGGAACAGGAAGAGCTGGGCTCAGCGTACCTGCCAAGCGTTGGTAGGACAGCGTTCCTGCCCAGCGTTGGTAGGACGGCGTTCCTGCCCAGCGGTGGTAGGACAGCGTACCTGCCCAGCGGTGGTAGGACAGCGTACCTGCCAAGCGTTGGTAGGACAGCGTACCTGCCAAGCGTTGGTAGGACAGCGTACCTGCCCAGCGGTGGTAGGACAGCGTACCTGCCAAGCGTTTGGTAGGACAGCGTTCCTGTCCAGCGGTGGTAGGACAGCGTACCTGCCCAGCGGTGGTAGGACAGCGTTCCTGCCCAGCGTTGGTAGGACAGCGTACCTGCCAAGCGTTGGTAGGACAGCGTTCCTGCCCAGCGTTGGTAGGACGGCGTTCCTGCCCAGCGGTGGTAGGACAGCGTACCTGCCCAGTGGTGGTAGGACGGCGTTCCTGCCCAGTGGTGGTAGGACGGCGTTCCTGCCCAGCGTTGGTAGGACAGCGTACCTGCCAAGCGTTGGTAGGACAGCGTACCTGCCAAGCGTTGGTAGGACAGCGTACCTGCCCAGCGGTGGTAGGACAGCGTACCTGCCAAGCGTTGGTAGGACAGCGTACCTGCCAAGCGGTGGTAGGACAGCGTTCCTGCCCAGCGTTGGTAGGACAGCGTACCTGCCCAGCGGTGGTAGGACAGCGTACCTGCCAAGCGTTGGTAGGACAGCGTACCTGCCAAGCGGTGGTAGGACACCGTTCCTGCCCAGCGTTGGTAGGACAGCGTACCTGCCAAGCGGTGGTAGGACAGCGTACCTGCCCAGCGGTGGTAGGACAGCGTACCTGCCAAGCGTTGGTAGGACAGCGTACCTGCCAAGCGGTGGTAGGACAGCGTTCCTGCCCAGCGTTGGTAGGACGGCGTTCCTGCCCAGCGTTGGTAGGACGGCGTTCCTGCCCAGCGGTGGTAGGACAGCGTACCTGCCCAGCCTTGGTAGGACAGCGTACCTGCCCAGCGTTGGTAGGACAGCGTACCTGCCAAGCGTTGGTAGGACAGCGTTCCTGTCCAGCGGTGGTAGGACGGCGTTCCTGCCCAGCGTTGGTAGGACAGCGTACCTGCCAAGCGTTGGTAGGACAGCGTACCTGCCCAGCGGTGGTAGGACAGCGTACCTGCCAAGCGTTGGTAGGACAGCGTTCCTGTCCAGCGGTGGTAGGACGGCGTTCCTGCCCAGCGTTGGTAAGACGGCATACCTGTCCAGCGCTGGTAGGATAGCGTTCCTGTCCAGCGGTGGTAGGACAGCGTTCCTGCCCAGCGTTGGTAGGACAGCGTACCTGCCCAGCGTTGGTAGGACAGCGTTCCTGCCCAGCATTGGTAAGACAGCGTACCTGTCCAGCGCTGGTAGGATAGCGTACCTGCTCCCTTCCCAGGCTAAAACCACCAGGGGCTGACTGGGAGGTCTCTCCTGTCCCCCCGCCCACCATGAGGAGTCCAGGTAGCTTGGTGTCTTGATGGAGATTCTCTGCAGTGCGATGTTGATATTCACCAGTCCAAACCAGCCATGAGATTTATTTATGGTGAGATCTTTGCTCAGATCGTCGGAGGAACCCCGTAACCCCCCCCCCGATCCAGACCATCACTGACTGTGGGTACCTGACTCTGGACTTCTGGCATTTTGGCATTTCCTTCCTCCAGACTCTGGCACCTTGGTTTCCAAACGACGTGTAAAACTGAGCAACAGTCCAGAGCTGCTTCTCTGTAGCCCAGGTCAGGCGCCTCTGCCGCTGTTTCTGGTTCTAAAGTGGCTGACCTGGGGAAGGCGGCACCTGTAGCCCATTTCCTGCACACGCCTGTGCACGGTGGCTCTGGATGTTTCTACTCCAGACTCAGTCCACTGCTTCCGCAGGTCCCCCAAGATCTGGAATCGGCCCTTCTCCACAATCTACCTCAGGGTCTCCTCTTCTGGCTGTGCAGCGTTTTCTGTCACTTTTTCCTTCCCTCTGAGGCGCCTTGATGCAGCAGCACTCTGGGAACAGCCTATTGGTTCAGAAACATCTCTCTGTGTCATAGCCTCTGGCTGAGGGGGTCAATGATGCCTTCTGGACAGCAGGCAGGTCGGCAGTCTGACCCATGATGGGGGTCTGAGTGATGAACCAGGCTGGGAGTTTAAAGGCCTCAGGAACCTTTAGCAGGTGTTTAGAGTTAATCTGTTGATTCAGGTGATCAGGTGCATAGCAGCTCGTTTAGAGACCTTTATCATGATATGCTCATTTGGTGAGATAGGAATGTTGGGTTTTCATGAGATGGATGATAAATCATCTGTATGAAGACAATAAAAGACCTGAAATATTTCAGTTAGTGTGCAATGAATCTAAAATATATGAATGTTCAAGTTTTATCATTACATTATGGAAATAATGAACTTTATCACAGTATGCTAATATTTGAGAAGGACCTGTAAAGTAAGCGGACCCCAGCGGATGGATGGCAGGGAGAAAGAAGATCCTTCCTCCTACATCTGTTAAACTCTGAGAACATTTAAAGGTGTTCGTTCCGTTTCCCCTCAGCAGGAAGGACTTCTCCAGGGTCTGACCGCACACTGGAGCAGCGCCCCCCCCACCTGCTGGTTTCAAACGACACAGAACCAGAAAGGGTTTAAAGGCGGGAAGACGACGTTAGCCTGGAGCTGCTTCCTAAAGGTCCGACTGCAGCTCCTCCATCAGGAGCTTTTTCTGGCTCAGGGTGGCGCTGTAGCTTCAGCTCAATGTTTCCATCAGATCAGCTCATCCTGAAGCGGAATATGCTGCAGGATTCATCAGGGGAACCTTGGAGAAGCAGGAGGAAGGATTTCTGAAACGGTTCGGGATGGTTTTGCTGAATGAACTCCTCCTGGTCTTCAGGGTTTCCATCTCCATCAGTGTTCATGTCCTCCACAGTCTGGACTTTGACTAGGCCGTTCCACGTCATGGACCATCCCACTGCTGCTTTGACTGGGTTTTCAGGCAGGTTCTCCTTCTGGTAGAACTTCATCTGTGTTTTCCTCCATCCTTCCACAGAACCAGGGCAGCGGGGCTTCAGCTTCCTGTCAACCTTTCCTTAAAAACTCTCTTCGGATCAGAGCTCTTCCCTGGATTCTTCTCATCAGTTTGATTGGTCAGATCTCATGCCTGTCAGTCATCCTGTCAGCTGAGCTCCAGACCTCTGCAGCTCCTCCAGAGTCACCCAGGGCCTCTGCGCTGCTGCTGAGGGTGTTTCTGCAGGAAGAAGCTGAGGCTCAGAGTTCAGGGCGGCGTTGGTCCATGGAGGGAAGCATCATGGAGGCCGGTCCGTCCCGCCGCGCCGCTGCTTCACTTTGAATGTTTGCTCTGCGACTGGATTCATAAAACGCAATTTGTGGAAATCTAAACCATGACCGTTGGTTTAATGAAACTCTGATCCCCAGAAGCTCCTGATGCACAGAGAGGATGGACGGAATGATGCAGGGATGGACCGGAGGTAGACGGATTCCTCCAGTAAGCAGCCAGGATAAAGGAACAATATTTCCTGGCAGTTGATCCAGTCGATGTTCTGATCCACTTAGACGAGCAAAACAACACAGAACAAGCATCAGCAAAAAAACAACAACTTTTCCCACAAGATGCTAAAAGCAGCAGTTTTACGGTGGAACAGGGTCTGATTGGAAAGGTCATCCGAGGTCACCTTCTTCCCTTGGATACGTTTGGATAAGCAGCACAGAAAGCTGTGCTTTCCACACCCAGCTGTGTCTAGAATGAGCAGATCTACAGTTCTGCTCTGTCAGCTCAAATGATTCAGAAAAACAAGCTGGAAAATCTGCTCCTTCCACTTCAATCCAGACGTTTCCCTGAAGCCAAGACTAGACGGGACCTAAACGCAGCTGCTGCCTAGAAGAACGGCGCAGGAACACGTTCCTCAGATCGGATGACCACATTCATTCCAGCAGCTCCAGCCGGGCGTGAAGGCATGCAGATCCAGCTCAGGAGAGAACAGACAGGAAGTAGAGCCCAAAGCTCCGCCCAATCAGGCATCTGATGCTGATGGCTGCTAACCTTACAGTAGCATGGGTCAGAGAAGCAGCCAGGACCACAGAAGCTCTGGAGGAGCTGCAGAGAAGCTGCTGCTCCGATAAGATGAGATCAACAGAACCTTCCAGAACAAATAAACCAAACATTGGCTCCCTGTGTGGGAACCGTCTGACCAACAGCTCGCTGCCGTTTGGCAGGGATTTTATTTTCAGCCAAGCTTTTAATAAACGTCATTTCTCACTGCTGAGGCGACTCTATCTCCACATTTCTACTTTTACACATCTGGAAATTTGCTGCTGAAACTGTTGGATACAAACAAACATCCAGTAAATAAAGAGCCAATTATTTTTTTCTGGAGGTCTGGAGAACATGTGGCTCTACTTTTATATTTCTACATAAAGAAGAGAATCTTCTGCATAAACTGCAGGAGATCAATAAAGATAAAGGCGCCAATGAACGGCGTTCAGGTTTAACCTGCAGAGGACAGACTCCGCCTCCAGGTCGCTCACTGATAGCAGGAACCGTCCCTGTGGGATAAATACGGCTCCTTTGATCTGGGATCAAACATTTCATCGCTTTTATCAAACATTCAAACGTCAGTTTTTAAGGACCTGAACCGCCTCCATAAACCGGATCCAGATCCTCAGAAAGTGACGGATCACCATGGTGACGGACAGAAAGACAAACAATAAAACTCACAATAGTTGGAAATATTGATGCTGTGTGGCTCAAACCATCAAACTAAGAGTCATTAAAGTCGCTAAATGGATCCATTTCAGCGTCAAACCAAAGGATTAAAATGAAAGAAAACGATTTAAACTCAGACTGATGCGTTCAGACAGACCAGCAGCAGGTTTTAAAACAAACTGGATTCCAGCTTCTGTTGTTTCCATGGTTTCATTTTTTGAGCTTTTAGTTCTTTAAATCATTTAAATTCATTGGCCTAGAGCAGAACCGCAGGCCACCCTTTCATTCCAGAACTTTGTAATCCAGAACCTTTTATACCAGAACTTTTCAATCTATAATTTTTTTATCCAGAACTTTTCAATCTATAATTTTTTAATCCAGAACCTTTTAATCTAGAACTTTTTTAATCCAGAATTTCTAATTCAGAACTTTATAATCTACAATTTTTTATTTCAGAACTTTTTTTAATCCAGAACTTTTTAATCTAGATTTTTTTTTAATTCAGCACCGTTTATTCCAGAAATGTTTAATCTAGAACTTTTTAATCTAGAACCCTTTAATGCAGAACTTTTTATTGCAGAACTTTGTAATCCAGAACTTTGTAATCCAGAAATGTTTAATCCAGAACTTTTTAATCCAGAACATTTAATCTAGAACTTTTTAATCCAGAACATTTTAATCTAGAACCTTTTAATGCAGAACCTTTTATTGCAGAACTTTGTAATCCAGAACTTTTTAATCCAGAAATGTTTAATCCAGAACTTTTCAATCTAGAACTTTTTAATCCAGAATTTTTAAATCCAGAACCTTTTAATCTAGAACTTTTTATTCTAGAACTTTTCAATCTAGAACTTTTTAAGCCTAACCACTAACTTCTCTCTGGGGAAAAGTTGAAAATCGTTTGATTAAACTTGAAATAATTTTTTTTCCCCCCTTGAACTCGCTAAAAGCCAATGAGAGTAGAAGCGGCACCAGGTCCGGTTCCGGTTCTGGTTCTGGTTAAGCGGGACTCACCCAGCAGCCCCTCGAACTGCTCGATGGCCAGCACAGCGTTGTCCTGCGTGCTGTGGTGGAGGTGGTTCGGCATCTTGGTCATGTTCCACGGCATGGATCTGCACAGCGGGATCCGGACCGGCTCACAGGCGGCCGCCCGGACTGCAGGCGGCCACAGGGCGCAGGACACGGCCAGCAGAGCCACGCTGAGTCCCGGGGGGAGCATGTCTGAGGGGGGGTGGGGGGATCTGAGCTGAGACGCGGAGGTCCAGTCGGTTGGATCGGAACCAGGACGGGATCTGACCTGCTGATGGGAGCTTTCTGCTGCAGCTGCTCTCTGCTCCTGCAGACAGACCCAGGGTGGGGCTGCTTTCTTATGCAGACTCCCACCTCCTCCTCCTCCTCCTCTTCTTCAGGCCCTCCTTCTCCACCAGGCTCCCCTCTCCTCCTCCTCCTCTAACCCTCTGCACTAAAAACAGATTCCTTTTTGATGAAAAGTCAACATTGCTTAAGCCCCTGGAAGCTTGTAGGCCTAGATGCCATTACAGGCAGCAGTGAGGCCTGCTCACTTCATTTTCCACTAAACTTGAACTAATCCACTGCAGACTGCCCCAAAGTCACGGGTTCGAGGTTAATGCCACACATTTAGAAAACCTGAAAGTCTCATTTTGATTTGTGTTCAGTGTGATCAGATAAACAGGTCTGCTCCTTCATTGGGGCTTTATCAGGTGGGCCCATACAGGCTGAGCAAACAAATATTGAAATCACAGGATTTCAGCCCAGAGGTTCACAACTACCTACATCTCATTTCTACTGTAAAGGTTTGTGCTTGACTTCTTGATTCACAACCTTAATTTAATGATGTCAGATTGAGAGCACTTCGCTCTCAGTCTGCAGGTTTACTAGTGGTTCCTAGAATTTCTAAAAGTAGAATGGGAGGCAGATCTTTTAGTTATCAGGCTCCTCTCCTGTGGAACCAACTACCAGTTTTAGTCCGTGAGGCAGACACCCTGTCTACTTTTAAGGCTAGGCTTAAAACTTTCCTTTTTGATAACGCTTCTAGTTAGAGTGGCTCAGGTTATCCTGATCTATCTCTATAGTTCTGCTGCTATAGGCTTAGACTGCTGGAGGACATGGATATCTCTCTTCCTCGCTCTCCAATTTCGCATATTTGCAATTATTTGAACTATTAAGTTTATTGGATTGGATGGATGGATGGATGGATGGATGGATGGATGGATAAATGGATGGATGGATGGATGGATGGATGGATGGAAGGATGATGGATGGATGGATGGATGGATGATGGATGGATGGATGATGGATGGATGGATGATGGATGGATGGATGGATGGATGGATGGATGGATGATGGATGGATGGATGGATGGATGATGGATGGATGGATAAATGGATGATGGATGGATGATGGATGGATAAATGGATGATGGATGGATGGATGATGGATGGATGATGGATGGATGGATGGATGGATGATGGATGGATGGATGGATGGATGACGGATGGATGGATGGATTAATGGATAAATGGATGGATGGATGATGGATGGATGGATGGATGGATGGATGGATGGATGGATGGATGGAAGGATGATGGATGGATGGATGGATGGATGATGGATGGATGGATGATGGATGGATGGATGGATGGATGATGGATGGATGGATAAATGGATGATGGATGGATGATGGATGGATAAATGGATGATGGATGGATGGATGATGGATGGATGATGGATGGATGGATGGATGGATGATGGATGGATGGATGGATGGATGACGGATGGATGGATGGATTAATGGATAAATGGATGGATGGATGATGGATGGATGGATGATGGATGGATGGATGGATGATGGATGGATGGATGGATGGATGATGGATGGATGGATGGATGGATGACGGATGGATGGATGGATTAATGGATAAATGGATGGATGGATGATGGATGGATGGATGATGGATGGATGGATGGATGATGGATGGATGGATGATGGATGATGGATGGATGGATGATGGATGGATGGATGGATGGATGATGGATGGATGGATGGATGAAGGATGGATGGATGGATGGATGATGGATGGATGGATGGATGATGGATGGATGGATGGATGATGGATGGATGGATGGATGGATGGATGATGGATGGATGGATGGATGACGGATGGATGGATGGATTAATGGATAAATGGATGGATGGATGATGGATGGATGGATGATGGATGGATGGATGGATGATGGATGGATGGATGGATGGATGACGGATGGATGATGGATGGATGGATGATGGATGGATGGATGGATGGATGATGGATGGATGGATGATGGATGGATGGATGATGGATGGATGGATGGATGGATGGATGGAAGGATGATGGATGGATGGATGGATGGATGGATGGATGGATGATGGATGGATGATGGATGGATGGATGATGGATGGATGGATGGATGATGGATGGATGGATAAATGGATGATGGATGGATGATGGATGGATAAATGGATGGATGGATGGATGGATGGATGACGGATGGATGATGGATGGATGGATGATGGATGGATGGATGGATGGATGATGGATGGATGATGGATGGATGGATTAATGGATAAATGGATGGATGGATGATGGATAACGGATGGATGAATGGATGATGGATGGATGGATGAATGGATGGATGAATGGATGATGGATAACGGATGGATGAATGGATGATGGATGAATGGATGGATGGATGAATGGATGATGGATGGATGGATGAATGGATGATGGATGGATGGATGAATGGATGGATGAATGGATGATGGATAACGGATGGATGAATGGATGATGGATGAATGGATGGATGGATGGATGAATGGATGATGGATGGATGAATGGATGATGGATGGATGGATGAATGGATGATGGATGGATGACGCTGTCATGTTTAAACCTGAAGCATCTGAAGGTGATGTCATCAGCAGGGTCACAGGATACAGAACTGATGGATTTCCTTGGTGCGTCTGTCAGTCTGTTTCCTACAGTCGTTTATCTCCTAGCAGATTCCAGAGACATCAGGAGCTTCTATGCTAAAGGAACTTTGACAGGAAGCTTCCTGTTTCCTGGTTCTAGCTCCTTCCTAACTGCTGGCTCTATTCAGACAGCACTGACTGTGATGGTTGGGAACTGAATAAAGAGTCCTTACTGGTCAGAGCTTTTCAGACAGATGATGACCTCTGTTGAGAGGTCACAGCAGCGTTTCTGCTGTTTAACATCTTTATTCTCCTTAAGAACGGTCGTTTGGTTCTGCTGCTTACCTCCTTACCTTAGAGCTTGCTTCCTGGATGGGTTCAGAGCTCTCTATGCCATGGTGGTCATCCTACACAGTTCCTTCCATGACCTGCCTGCCCTCCAGCTATCAGTTCTCTGACTGGATCTACAGTCAGTCTGCTTTGCCTCCTGCTGATTGAACCATCAATCAGCCAAAGTCAGGTTTTCATTCTCTCACATGTCGACACTCAGTTCCATCCAGCAGCTCATCGCTCCTCAGATGCAGCATTGTTTTAAACGCTCGCATCTTTTTACTCAGCCGTATTCTGGCATCATGTGTCAGGGTTTCCCTTCAAACACAACAGATACAGACCACACTAGCAAAGACTGATCGCAGGAAAACACCTGGTGGGGGTCAGAGGTCTGAGGAAAGCAGGAGAAAGCTAGGCAACAGTTCATAAACCAGCATGAAGGATTCAGAATGAAAGAACCCAAAGCTAACCAGGAACCAGCAACCAGGAACCAGGAACCAGCAACCAGGAACCAGGAACCAGGAACCAGCAACCAGGAACCAGGAACCAGGAACCAGGAACCAGGAACCAGCAACCAGGAACCAGCAACCAGGAACCAGCAACCAGGAACCAGCAACCAGCAACCAGGAACCAGGAAGCAGCAACCAGCAACCAGCAACCAGGAACCAGGAACCAGCAACCAGGAACCAGCAACCAGGAACCAGCAACCAGGAACCAGCAACCAGCAACCAGCAACCAGGAACCAGCAACCAGCAACCAGGAACCAGGAAGTGATCAGAGGGACAAACACCTGCTGCTGTTCTTACAGGTTCGCTACAAACTGGACCCATAAGGACTCGGACTGGCCAACCTGTTTCTCCAGAACATTGAGAACCTGAGAGGGTTCTAGGAGAACCCAGAACGCCGTCCAGGGTTCTAGGAGAACCCTGGACGGCGTTCTGGGTTCTAGGAGAACCCTGGATGGCGTTCAGGCCAGCTGTAGATGATGGTTTCCAGATGGTCCAGCTGAGCTAGAGCAGGTGCTGAGGAAGTCAGACAGATGAGGTTTTATATTCTGCTGTGCAGCGTTGGTCCTAATCTCCGGTTGGGCCTGCTGACCCTTATGGAAACATGGCGGCCGTGAAACCGGCGCAGCAGACGGCGTTACGTCAGGTCCAAAACAATCAGAACTGAGAAGGTACCGGAGCCCCTCTGTGGTTCCTGATCAGCGGTTCTTCTACAGCATCAGGCACTAAACCAGTTACTGCCGATGGGAAACTGGTACGGACCTGTAGCTGAGTGGTTGACCTCTGACCCCGCATTAACAGGCCTGTTATTGGTCCATTAAATGTGAGTGACGCAGCACTCTGGGTGTTGGTGGTTGGTAATGATTTACAGATGTTGGAGGAGCTGAGTTACAGCCAACACACACATTACTGGTCTCTCTATCTTTGCGAGGCCTTCCTCTACGGCCTGTCGGTGACCCCCACCCTAACAGCACCGCTTCATTCATGACCCCTAATTCACACATTAGTCCCAAATCTGACCCCTGACCCTAAAACAGGGACTCCCCTAGTGGGGTCCAGGCATGCGCCCCTCAGCAGCAGTCGGTCCTCACAACCTGCTACTTTTCCAGAAACAGTATCAAATACCAGAACACACACACACACCCTCGGCCCCTCTGGGTTTTCTGACTCATGGATCAACAAGCAGAGACTGAATCAGCACTTTGTCCCCCCCCCCCCATTCCCTCTTCTGCTCGTTCTCATGGTTTCATCTCTCTTGGTGTTTTTCTGACGTCAGATCTTTTCTTCGTTGGCAGAGAATCTTATCAGAGGAATGAAATCACTGGTTCCAGTAAACAGACTGGGAACTGCTTCCTTTCTCCCCTCAATTGTTTGGTTTCTCCTCCCATCCAGGGGGAGGCGGGGGCTCTGGGGTCCCAGAGGTTCTGAGTTCAAATCCCACTCCCACAGCCTGCCACTCTGGGTCCCTGAGCAAGACCCTTAACCCCACACTGCTCCCCGGGTGCTGCAGCCCCCTGCTCCTAAAGGGGAGGGGTTAAAGTTCAGTGACCTCTTCTCTCCTTTCCTCTGTCGTCTCATTGATCCTGCTTCTCTTTCTGAATGCATGATGTCACTGATGCTCCTCTCTACGGTCTGCAGCTGTTGCTGCTGCTGCTGTTGCTGCAGCTGTTGCTGCTGTTGTTGCTGCTGCAGTTGCTGCTGCTGTTGCTGCAGCTGTTGCTGCTGCAGTTGCTGCTGCTGTTGCTGCTGCAGTTGCTGCTGCTGTTGCTGCTGCTGTTGTTGCTGCTGCAGTTGTTGCTGCTGCTGTTGCTGCTGCTGTTGTTGCTGCTGCAGTTGCTGCTGCTGTTGCTGCAGCTGCTGTTGCTGCAGCTGTTGCTGCTGTTGTTGCTGCTGCAGTTGCTGCTGCTGTTGCTGCTGCTGTTGCTGCTGCAGTTGCTGCTGCTGTTGCTGCAGCTGTTGCTGCTGCAGTTGCTGCTGCTGTTGCTGCTGTTGTTGCTGCTGCTGTTGCTGCAGCTGTTGCTGCTGCTGTTGCTGCAGCTGTTGCTGCTGTTGTTGCTGCTGTTGTTGCTGCTGCTGTTGCTGCTGCTGTTGCTGCTGCAGTTGCTGCTGCTGTTGCTGCAGCTGTTGCTGCTGTTGTTGCTGCTGCTGTTGCTGCTGCAGTTGCTGCTGCTGTTGCTGCAGCTGTTGCTGCTGTTGTTGCTGCTGCTGTTGCTGCTGCAGTTGCTGCTGCTGTTGCTGCTGTTGTTGCTGCTGCTGTTGCTGCTGCAGTTGCTGCTGCAGTTGCTGCTGCAGTTGCTGCTGCAGTTGCTGCTGCTGTTGCTGCTGTTGTTGCTGCTGCAGTTGCTGCTGCTGTTGCTGCTGCAGTTGCTGCTGCTGTTGCTGCTGCAGGCCCGTTTCATGCTGAGGAAAGGCGACTGCTTGCTGCACTGTCAGATTTATGATGGGTGGTTAAATAAAGCACAGCCACAGATATTCTTTATCGATTTCCAAACCTGCTGACTTCTGCAGCTGGAACACATGAATGCATGGGCGGGGCTTCTTCCTGGAGAGCCTGTTTTCTAGAAGGGTTTCCCTCCAAAGAGAACGCCTCCTTTTGCAGCTTTTAGGTTCTAATATTAAAGCCATCAATAAAGTGCTAAAGATAGAGAGCGAGCAGGCAGGCAGGTCAACCTGCTGGCAGCTCACCTTCATCCTTTCAATAATGCATGGGGCTGATGAACCCTGCAGAGCTCAGTGTTCATGGGATGATCCCAACTCCTCCTCCCAGAATAACACAGATTGACTCCCATCATGGAGGCTCAGCAGGTCCACTGAGTGCTGCTTGATGTCAACATGGAGCTAAAATGTTCCTCAAACTTCATCCAATCCATCAGGATTAAGCCATAGATTAGCTCGGATTAATTAATCTATAAACTAGCCTGAACTTTTCTACTCTGCTTCTTTCCAGTTTGTCAGGAACCTTCTCCCTGAATGCAGGTATCTGGCGCCCCCTGCTGGAACCTTTGAGCCTACGTCCAGTTTAGTTCAAGCAGACAGGATTAGAATTATTAACATTTTGACTGCTTTAAAACAAACATTTTGTTGATCATAATATTAAAAGTTGATTAATCAGATGCTGATTGTGGTTTTATCTACTTTGATGCATCATTTTGCCTCCATCATCATTAGAGCTTAAGGTGCAGAGCAGCAGGAAGGTCCAGCAGGTTTCATGTTGCTTGCTGACGGCCCACCTCCAGCAGAGCTGGACCAGTTCAACACATCACAGCTAAAGCTGCTAGAACTGGATTCAGCAGGATCTGCTTCTATAGGGACCAGCTGAAGGCAGCAGGTAGGAGGACAGCTGCAAGAGAAGAAGACGATGAGGACAGGAGAGGGTCTCCTTTCTGGTTTAATCTGGATTATCTGCTTTCACAGGAACAGCTTGGCCTCCTGAAGAAGAACGGAAGCTGAACGTCTGAAGAAGCTGGTAAGAAACTCTGGATGTTCTCATGGATGGAACCACCTGATTACACCAAACATCTGTTTCATTCTGGGAACTAAACTCCTTTAGAGACGGCAGAGCCTGTTTCCTCTCAGACTTTCATCATTAATAAAATCCACATCATAGAGAATCAGATTTTTATCATGATCCAAATTACAGGAACATTTAAACAGATTTAGGGAATTAGAACTTTGATCTGATAAATCAATACATCATGTAGGAACAGTCAGATTTCCCATATTTCAACCTTTGCTTCATTTTTTCTAATCACTGATTATCCTGGTTTTTAGTTTTATTTTCTAAATCAAAAGTTTCTAAAATGTTGAATTGAAGGAGTTTTATCTGCATTAAATAATAGTCATAGATTGTTCAGGTTTCTGGTCAATATTTACTATTTAATCCTGTTTATACCGATAATGAAATTATATTGTATTGAAAATGTAGAAATGTGGTAATAGAAGTTTTAGCCTTATCCTGGACTCCATCAGTTATGAATCTACCTTTATTCATAAGAAACAACAGAGCAACCCCTGAAACAGGCAACGATCAAGGAGACCAGACCCACACAGAAGGACCCACCAGGAAAAATCCACAGAGAAATGAATCTAACCGAGCATAAAACCAGTGATCTGGGTGGTTTCTACCTGAGGACTTCCCACACCTGTAACCAGACCTGCATAATCGCCTTTGAACAGGCATCCAGTGAGATGATGGGTTCAATGGTAGACGGTCATCACAGATATGCTAATGCTCACCGTTAGCTCCAGGCGTTTCAGCGCAGCAGCAATATCCTGCATGCTTTAAAACGCACCTGCTCTCAATCAGCAGCTGAACTATAATCATTTTCCAGGTTTTCTCAAATCATCACAACATTTGAAAAACAATATTTCACAAAACAGTTCCTAGAGATAGAAAAGCAGAATAGATTACCATAGTTCATCGCTCTAAAGTAAATATCTGTCTCAGTGAAGACTGGCCTGCGATCGATAAATCCCTGTGTCATGGTGCTAGGATAGACTGCTGAGTCATGTTTTCCATATAGCAGGTTCCTCTGCAGGGAAGTTCTGATGTAAACGTTGGCTGATGTTCTGATGACCATGCGTCTATGTGGGGGGGCGCCTGGAGCGCCTGGAGGGCCTGGGGCGCCTGGAGGGCCTGGAGGGCCTGGAGGGCCTGGGGCGCCTGGAGGGCCTGGAGGGCCTGGAGGGCCTGGGGCGCCTGGAGGGCCTGGAGGGCCTGGAGGGCCTGGGTCGCCTGGAGGGCCTGGGGCGCCTGGAGGGCCTGGAGGGCCTGGGGCGCCTGGAGGGCCTGGAGGGCCTGGAGGGCCTGGAGGGCCTGGGTCGCCTGGAGCGCCTGGAGGGCCTGGGGCGCCTGGAGGGCCTGGAGGGCCTGGAGGGCCTGGGGCGCCTGGAGGGCCTGGAGGGCCTGGGGCGCCTGGAGGGCCTGGAGGGCCTGGGGCGCCTGGAGGGCCTGGAGGGCCTGGAGGGCCTGGAGGGCCTGGAGGGCCTGGGTCGCCTGGAGCGCCTGGAGGGCCTGGGGCGCCTGGAGGGCCTGGAGGGCCTGGAGGGCCTGGGGCGCCTGGAGGGCCTGGAGCGCCTGGAGGGCCTGGTGCGCCTGGAGGGCCTGGAGCGCCTGGAGGGCCTGGGCAGGATTCCCGTTACGCTGCTGCTCTTTGTGCTGTAATCTGTTGTCAGACCATGTTATTGTTTTATTATTGTGATGTTTTATTCTTCCAATGAAACAACGATGTAAAGATTAAACAAGAACTTCTGAGAAGTTCAATTCTGATCTGAGAAATGTCCCAAAAAACTTGAATCAAAGGAGTTTTAGCAGAGAAACAAGGAGAGCAAAGTTCCTCCAGGGTAGATTTAGAGAACAACATGGAGTCAGCTGTTGTTCTCAGTCTGGAACCAGGCTCAGGTTTATGGCTTTCACTGCATGAGGCTGGAGGACATGCTGACCCGTCCACTCAGTGCTGCTCATGCAACAGGCTGCAGACCTTAATGTCCCAAAGGGGACCTGATTAAAGCAGCCCAGAGGAGCTCCATGCTGGGTTTTGGTTTGTTGGTTCCACCAATCAGGAATAGCGCCTATATTCTTTAGATCACGCTGCTAGTTTCAAACACCTCATTTGTTGTTCTGCGTTGGTCTTGAACTTCCTCATCTGAACCCTTTATGAATATTAGCCTCTTTCTAAAGCGTCTCAGATTCTGGGCTTTTGCTCCAGCCCTGTTAGGACCTTTCCTATTCAGTCATCTCAGCCGATTCCAGCGCTCTACATAGATCAGTAAATAGACTCTGAAAGCTTATTGTCTGGAGTAATTGGTCCATGAATGATGTGCTGAAATGCTTGCATTTATCCGGTTCCTCTATGACTCCAGCCACGGTTTTCATTCTTTTAATCACATTCGTCTTTAAGTCAGAACACCTCCTTAAATTCTCTACTTTTCCTCTGAGTATAAACATGGTTTCTGATTCTAGAAGCTAATCACGAACTTCTATCTGTCCTTGTTCTCCAAACAGGTGGTCCAACAGCCTGAGGACTTAGCTGAAGCTCCTGATTCATGACAGGCGGAGATTCTGTGCTTGTTGTCTGTTTTTTTAATTATTAATCGATAAGGTTGGCATTTTTCTGGAATCAACTCTTTGACATTAAACCTGGAAAAACTTTAACATCAAATATCTGTTTTATCAAGTTGAAATGCCTCGCCGCTCTCTTTATTTCTCAGGTTCCATAAAGTTTGGTCATGCAGTCTTTGACTCAGGAGATCCAGAACTTTTCGCGCTCACGTCTACGGAAGCAATGCACCCGTGTGACGTCCCTCAGCGGCCGGCGAATTATTGAGACCTGGAAAGGTTCAACAATCGCTGTGGTGGAAGATCCTGTCCCACCTGAGAGGATGCTGGGCTACGTCCCTGATACTTCCTGGGACCTGCAGGTCGGCCTCATCAAGCCCTACCTGCTTCTGGGTGAGTAAGAACCCTCCAAGGCTCCATGAACAAGGGCAGGATGAACATGCTCCATCATTCAATTGGATTAAATTCTATTCAGTTTATTTCTATAGCTCCAGTTCACATCATGTCATCTCAGGTCACTTTGCAGT